TACATTCTTTTCTGGATTCTCATAGCTCTTATTGTCTCTGATATCATTGAGTGTTTCCATTACACTCCGGTATTGAACAGCAACTTCTTCACAGGCTATTCGTCGATACCCATCTCGTTACCCGTCGGGTATCGACCAAATTCACTCAAATTCCTCCGGATTCTGAATATACTGTTGTCGATTTTTAAACGGATACCCGGGGTAATGATATTACGACATCACTCCTACAATCGATCCTTCTCTTGCTGATGGAGGATATAAGCTTCGGATGGCGGCACTGATTCATCCCTGTAATGAATGTGCATCACTCGTAACCATTGTTACTTTTGTAGTAATCGACTCTACAGCCAGACGCACACAGTCGATGCAGAGAAATCAGACAATATCGTTATTCATGGCGAGAGATATTGGATTTTGCCAAGTATCAAACATATCATGTAGAGTAGCTCTGAAAAAAAAAGAAAACGAATATTTTTGTATTCTTTCTGACAATATATTATGTTATCTTTGTGATTCGTCAATATTGTTTCTTTGTGATTGCCTATCATATTACCCGTGCAGACACATTGACGCAGAAAACGGTGTTTCAACGCGTTTATGCGAAAAAACATAGAAAAAACTGATTAAAATCAGTTAATATGCCTGTGAAGAAGATTATCCGCGTTTAAACGAGTTTCGTCCCGTTTAAACGGGTTTTACCGCGTTAAATCGCCAGACAGCATGATTTGATGCATTTTAACATGAGAGAATAAGCCGTTTTAACGCGTTTGTACATAAGATGCAATGTCGATGAAAAGTGTCTCATCAAAATACCTTTTTATTTCATTTTCTGATGACGTGTTTTAACGATCCTGTCGAGTAGCATGTAATTTTATTAAGATATTTGATGATATCTTATCAAAAAAAGATTAGTAGCTGTTAAGTGCTATAGTATAGGTTCGGAAATTGATAAAAAAACATAGAGTCAATAAGTAGAGGGTATGATGACAACATCATATGGTATCCAGAAGTATTGTGATTTCACCTGAGAGAAAAAGTTTTTCAAAAGGAACATATTTCATTTCACATACCTCATGCCAGGTTTTATCGCGTCCATGGTGACCTACTCGATTATGACATTCACTCAGTTTTGCATAAACTTCTTCATAAACTACGACTGGACGACTAATTTTGTGATTATTATACACCATATTTAAATCTCCAACTTTGACCAACAAAAAATTCTTTTGAACCCAAAATCTGAATTGAGGACTACCCCAGCCATCCCGTAGAACCAGAATGATGTCTTCATACATTTCTCTTTTAATGAGATATTTTGCACGAAACTTTTCATTGAGACTTTGAATATGTGCGTCAAGTTTTGTATAAAAGACGTCCATTTTCAATATGGAGTTATATAATCGTAAAGTTTATTTTTACAAATGATAGTTGCTTCGCACGATTTTTCATTTTATACACTTAAAAGTTCGCTATTTCTCTCACTTTTCACCGTTTCTCTTTTATTTATTGTGATTTTTATATGAAGAAATAGAGATAAAGATAAACTTATTTCTGCTAGGGGAAATCAAAATTTTAATCTCCCCTAGTGGAAATTGAAATCTTCAACTTTTCATAGAAAATACATGGAGACAACACATAATTTTGATTTCTCCTAGGGGAGATTAAAATTTCAATTTCCCCTTAGGGCGATTATAAACTTCCCTAAATTTTAATTTCCCCTGTAACATATATATCTACGTGTACATGTGGACGAAGAAGTTATTTCACGTTCTCGAAATTTTTATCGCAATGCTTCCAGCAACATTTGAATTTTTACCGAATGAAATAATATTTCAATGTTTTCAATATTTGAATATTATTCATATTTTTTATTCATTTGATCAATTAAATCATCATTTTAATATTCTTATTCGAAAAATTCCATTTCATTTGAATTTTCAAAATATTCAAAATAAATTTCAATGTGAACAATTCTGCCAAAAACTATCGATTGAACAAACTGTAACGGGATATATTGTTATATCCTGACCTGTACGCGACCTTGACTCATCGACACTAGCATGACCGCTATAATTGGCTGATATCCACTGTTCTCTGTTACCTATATAAGCGTGTATCTCATGACTAAACAGCAGCTTGTTACGTGAAGAAGCCAAATAAAGTGTGTGTCATCATATCACGGGCACTTCTCTTCTCAAGTTCGTTATATCTGGCGACCCTGTCACTCGTTCTCTGCAGCTTCGGATCGCAGTGA